CCTGAAGGGAACATTGCGTTTTATATTCATGGGTTTGTACAGTGTGTATTTTACATTTTGTACAAATGTGTTTTGAATTATAAGCTTGTCATGTTACACTAGATTTAAAGGGAACCATAGATTATAAAAGTAATAGCATCAAACAGAGCTGAGAGCTGGTGATTTGGTGTTTGCCACGTAACTTCTCAGCAAAGCTGTGGTCTGCCTAATAGACCCTCTGGATCTCCTCCCTACCTGTAGCCCGACAGCCTGGGCTGTTCCTGATATCTGCCACAGGCCACTGGAACAGGAGGCTCTGTGGCCTCCCTGTGTCCCCCACAGTTGGGGTGAGGGTAGCGGACCAACCCTCTGGAAGAGAAGAACATTTCCCTTAGGGGTACAAGAAAACCCTTGGGAATAGGATATTTTCAAGAACGGGGATTTTCAGTTAATTTAATTTTCTGATTAACTGCAGTGACTTTGGGCCTTTCAACTCACTGAGCCTGGTTTAGGTCATCTGAAGAAAAAAGAAAAGGTTGGGGTACTTCATGACCCTGGAGTCCTGCTAGCCCTGGAATTCTGCAATTGTATGAATTGAGCACAAGGAATGATTTTGTTTCGGCCTTTGTGTATTAAAAAACTTAGAATTTCTGGGTTTACTGTTCTACTATAGCAAAAACTGTGCACTGAATACAATCACAAGGCTCTGTGTGTGTGTGTGTGTGTGTGTGTGTGTGTGTGTGTGTGTGTGTGTGGTGAAGAGTGGGTGTGGCCTAGGCGAAAGACAGAGGATCTACAGCCAATCCTAGTGACTAGCAGTGTGACCTCAGGCCAGTTATTCCACCTTTCTTGGCCATAGTGTCTCTGTCCCCATCAGTGGGGACAATGGTATTCCTTACAACATTATTACTGTAGGAATATTGGTAAAAGATCAACATATGGTAACCACAATATCTTTTTTCTTTTTTTTTGAGACAGAGTCTTGCTCTGTCACCCACACTGGAGTGCAGTGGTGTAATCTCGGCTCACTGCAACCTCCACCTCCTGGGTTCAAGCAATTCTCCTGCCACAGCCTCCTGAGTAGCTGGGATTACAGGTGCCTGCCACCATGCCTGGCTAATTTTTGTATTTTTTAGTAGAGACAGGGTTTCGTCATGTTGGCCAGGCTGGTCTCAAACTCCTGACCTCATGATCTGCCCGCCTCGGCCTCCCAAACTGCTAGGATTACAGGTATGAGCCGGTAACTATGATATCTTAACAGATTTGGAGTCAGTGCTTGAAGAATATTTTCGTCACCTAGGTAAGACTTGATAGTAGTGGGGTAGCTTGTGCAGTGTAATTTATGGAACGCAGCCTCAATACATCGAGGCAGGGTTTCCCTTTGGCCCTATGCATGCGCTACTCTACACTGAAGATCCACGGAGGGGTTTTTCTTTTGAATCCTGACTGTAGCTTTTTACTCTGATGATTTTTCTCTTCCTTAAAGTTAGAGCACAGCTAAAACATGCTGGTTAAGTGATCCTAATAAGTGGAAGTTTCTGCTGTATGATTTGTGCACAGACACCATGCCGTTTATCCACAGGTGGTGTTCAAATTAAAAGCTCACCAGGAGTCAATAGCCACAAAGACGACTTTGGAGCAGATTCCCTCTCTTCTATTGTTCCTTTTCTCCAGCCAAGTTTCTCTTCTCTGCCTCTTTTTTCCTCTCTTACCTTTTCACCATTCCCTTTTTTTTCTTCTTCTAATCTTCCGATTTAGTGTTGGTATCTTTCCAACTTTGTGCTGTGCATTCTGCAGTAGTTTTTTTTTTTTTTTCTTTGAGACAGAGTCTTGCTCTGTTACTCAGGCTGGAGTGCAATCACATGATCTCGGCTCACTGCAACCTCCGCCTCTTGGGTTCAAGCGATTATCCTGCCTCAGCCTCCCCAGGTAGCTAGGATTACAGGTGTGTGCCACCACACCCGGCTAATTTTTGTATTTTTAGTAGAGACAGTGTTTCACCGGTCTGAAACTCCTGACCTCATGATCCACCCACCTCAGCTTCCCAAAGTGCCTGGATTACAGGCATGAGCCACCGTGCCCAGCCTCTGCAGTAGTTTTATTTCTCACTTTTTTGTTCCGTCTTATTCCACCACCTCCACTTTTCCTTTCTGCTCTCTATCTTTTTACTTCCATTTACCCACAGTCCCTGCTGGGAGGCCTTTTCTATTAGATACATAGCGGAAAGGCAAGTCAGCTTTTCTTTGAATTTAGGAAAATGGGGCTCACAGTTAACTTCAGGGGCTGAATTTCCAAAGGCCGCTGTCAGAGAGCCCAGCTGCTGTGGAATGAGAGCTATCAAGATGAGACCTAGCAACTGCCTAGGGTTCTAGTGACTCCAGAGACACCGGGATTCTAACCAGTCAAGGAATCACTAACACGGATTGGCTTTTAATATTAACTGTCACCACCACATCTCAGCCTGAGTATGAAGCTCATCTCTATCAGTTATCAGCCAACTGACCTTGGATAAATTACTTAACCTTTTTGAGTTTCAGTTATTGCGTAAAAAGATATAACTGCTATACCTTCTAGAGTCATATCACAGATTAAATGAGATCACATATGTAAAATGCATTTAGGAAACACTGAAGTTTCTCTGCAGTTTCTGCATCTTGGTCTAAGATTTTTAATACCTTTGGAAATTTCTGTCTATCTTCTGGGTAGTTTAGGGTTAGTGTGGCTCAGGGCCCTACCCTGATCCTCTTATCCTGACATCAATTGAGTTAGAAATAAGGTGGTGCTCAATATTATGCTATATACCACTGTTCTTGGCACCCTTAAATCCAGCCATACTCAATACCCCCAATATTCCCATTTGATTCACTAATGGCTCAGGCTGTCAAGTACAGTAGAAAAGGTAACTTTTTTTTTTGCAGAAAACTGCAAGCTCAAAACCAGTTTTAAACTTCATTCCAGGTCTGTTTCAAGCAGTGTTCTCAAGTGGGAGTGATTTTGCCTCTTAGGGGACATGAGGCATGTCGGCAAATATTTCTGACTGTCACAATTTTGGGGGCAGGCTGGAATGGTGCTACTGGCCCATGATGAGTGGAAGCCAGGGATGCTGCTGAATGTTCTACATGCAAAGAATACACCTGTTCAAAATGTCTGCAGTGCGGCGGTTGAGAAAGCCTAGTTTAGAGGTAGCCGGTTACACAAAGTTATGTTGGAAGTAGGGGGATCCTCTTGGCTTTAGAATCCTACTGTTTATCGAGACTGAGAAAAGTGTGGTAGAGGAGGCATTCAATGGGATCTGCAAACCTTTTAAAACTGAGCTGCTGTTATGAATTCAGAGAAGCATGTTTGTCTTTTAGACAAACATGTGAGGCCTCTTGCATGCCAAAAATTTGCTCAGGGTTTGCTATGCGGCAGCAGGAGAATCTGTCCATAAAAGGGATGGACTTTGCTGCCCAGAGGGATTCCCTTCAAGGGTTTCCCTTGTGAGCCTGAAAAATCACTGGGAAAGGGCAAGGCTGGCCAGCTTCCCTTTCCAGTCCCTCACCAAGGCCTGTTTATATTTCTCTGGAGGTGAGAGTGAGTCGGCTTTAGGGAAGGGAAGGCACTCTAGCCCTAAAAAGGGGTTGTTTAGAAATCAACTTCTTGTTTCTTGAGTATGAAGATTAACCAGCTTAGCTGGGAAAGGCCTTTGAGAAGGGAACCTGGGTTTAATACTCAGGGGAAGCTGAGAGAAAGGCATCACTGAGGGTGGAGAGCGCCTGGGATTGTGGCTCAGGAAGATATGAATCTGAACCTTGTAAGGTTTATTCTCTGTAAGGTTTGTTGCTAAGTTTAAAATGAGGAAACTGAGGCCTGCATGAGAACAATTAGACACCAATTTATTCGGCTCCTGGGCGAGGTTCTATGGTCCAGGGAAAGGGGGCCAGAGAAGTCTCGCCTGACTCCTCTCAGGCATGGGGTTATATAGGGAGGGAAGGCCCTCTGATTGGCTGTGGAGAAACAGGACGTGGACGTGGCAAGCTGCTATAGGTAGGTAGGCAGGATTTCCAGTGAGCGGGCTGGACGGGGCAATGCACTATTGGGCAGGTTTTGGCAGGGCTTCTTTTAAATTTTGGCAGGGTTTTCCAACGGCTGGCTAGGTGCCGAGTGCAGAGTTTAGTGTTGAGTGCAGATCCTGGTGCTGAGTGCAGGTTCTGGTGACGTAATTTTCAGGCGTGGAGAGGGATGGGCGTGTCCGAGCTCCCAGCAAGGCAACCGGCCTTACAAACCTCAGCTCCTCCAGTCTGGACTGACTCTGTGACCTTGGACAAAGAAAGGAAAAATAAGATTACAGCACAACTACTGTATGCCAGACTTGGGGGTAGTGTTGCATATGCAATATGATTTCACTTTATTTTTACAATAGCACAATAAAGTAGTCTAGCTAAATCATATAGTCAGTAGCTGACTAAAGTACTCTTGGGTTGTTTGACTCCAAGGTCCACTATTCTTCTTCTATACAACACTGTCTCCCAAAGCCTTTACCTTCTTTAAGCCTCAGTTTCCTTGCTTGTTAAATGGGCACAGAGGAAGATTAGGAACGTGAATTTAGAACAATCCAGGATGCTTTGGCCAATACTCCTCCAGGGAGAGCTCAGCACCCCTTCCTTTTTTCTACTGCCCTCTTCTTTCTCTTCTGAGGTTGGATGGCCTTAAAAACATGTATCAGCCATTCACACCCAGGGGGACATCAGTGTGCTGAGATCAAGGTCCTGTACTTATCCGGGGGCTGGCTTCTGCATCCTTCTCCTCTTCCTGCAAAGTCCGATTCAGCCCCCTGAGTCAGAGTATGCCCAGAGACTCCAGCACAGCCACGTGGTAGAAGATTTATGGACAGAAAAAGGAAAGTGAGGTACCAAAGGACAAAAAGGAGAACATTGGCAGACAGCTGGCAGTCCCAGCCATCATAGCAAAAAAATTTTTTTTCACCAGTTGTATTAGTCAGGACTTTACAATTGCAAACAACTGAAACAGATGTGGTTGAGTTCAGCAGAAAAAGCATTTAATAAAAGGGTATCATGTATTTCACAGACTTCGAAACCAGGCTTAGAAATTGAGCAGGAACGAATAAGCCCTGGCAGCCGCCAGGACCACAGCCAAAATCTTCCTCCAGAGCCCATCTAGGATAAAGCTAGACATCACAGCTTGCCCCTGAAGTCACCAGTCACTCTGCATCTGGCGCTCTTCAGCCACTGTTGTCACTAGAAAGTCCACATTGTTGACAGTGCTGTGAACAACCTCCAGAAATGTTCTTCCTCCTCACAGCTTCCTTGCCCCACTAGAAAGGTGTATCTGACAAAGAGCTCAGTCATATTCTGAACCCCAACTACAAGGGAGGCTGGGAAATGAGCCTTCCACTTCTATAATGGGAAGCAAGTTTTGCCTGTCATCAAGATACATAAGAAAAGAAATCTAGAAACCTGAAGAGGGTGCAGAATCTGAACCATTAAATAAAAAAGAAAACTAATAACAATAGTAATTGACAAAGATCTGTTCCATGGGTTCAGGTTCTATTGATGTTAGTAAGAGACACGTGCTTTGCAGGGCAAACAGCACATGTGACTCATCTTCTCTTCAGGACCCTCTAGTCACACACCCACATCCGTCTTTGCTTCTTATTCCTGTCAAAGAACAAAATTTAACAATTGGAGTTTTAAAGATCAAACTATAAAACTAGCTTTTGTCAGTTCATGAACTGAGCAGCATCTAGTCTACAAAATAGACAGGAGCTCTGTCAGGCATGATGGGAACAGTCCATTTTTATAAAGTAGTTTGAGCAGGAGGAACAAGGAAAGTCCATTTTTATAAAGTAGCTTGGGCAGGAGGAACAAGGGAACAGCACAGGGCAAAAAGCGCATTGGTTAATATCAGGTTACTTTCTTGTATGGATTAAAGCAGAGGGGACTTCCTTTTCATGCCAGCTCAGGTTGGCTGGTTGCTGTGAATCTCATGGGTTTTTTTGAGGGACAACTGACCTGTCTGGGTGTTTGGCTATCATCTCCCTCTTGACTTCTCAGGTGAGATCGTGCAAGTAAACAGTTTAGTTTTCAGTTTGGTGAATGGGAACATTAGCGTGAGTGACTCCATTTTGGGCTGGTCTGTTGGGACCTAGTGCAGAAGATGCTCATCCCAAATCATTGGCCTTCCATAAGTTTTCTTTAACTTTGCTAATGAGTAGATTTTAGTCAGACATATTTGAGATTATGAGTTATCCTGAGAAAGTAAATCATCCCAGTCCGTGTTATGAATTTCCTAATTTTGGTGATTTTTCTTTGCTAATATTAGTGGCTTTATGGATGTCCTGTTACTGCCAACCTATTTTCTTTGTATTCAGCATGGAGAAGAGTAAAATCTAAAAAGAGAATGACGGTGAGTTCCCTTGTGCTATAATATTTAATGTAGAGAATGACATTGAGCCTATTTTAGCCTTGACCAACCTGCTTCCTGGATTGTCTTTGATCTGATGAAAGACAAACTTCAGCTGAATTAACTTTAAAAGAGTTGAATTGAACAATAAACGATTCATGAATTGGTCAGCCCCCTGAGTCAGAGTATGCCAGAGACTCCAGCACAGCCACGTGGTAGAAGATTTATGGACAGAAAAAGGAAAGTAAGGTACAGAAAACAGAAGCCAGTTACAGAAACAACCTGCTTGGTGACAGCTGGGCGTTTGCCTTATCTGAACACAGTTTGGACAGTTGGCTACATTTGATTGGCCGAAACTCGGTGATTGGCACAAGTGTAGGCTATGGTCTGTTTATGTTTCCACTTGTTACAGTTGATGATGTACAGAGAAACTTTTAGGCCAAACTTAAAATATGTAGGGAGGCAGCTTTAGGCCAAACCTGATTGAACAGATCTGTGATGATTCTTAAGCAGTCACCCCCATTCTTCTTAATTCAAAGTCAGCATTAGACCAGAGAATATCTGAGGGGAAGGACCAGTGTTTCCAACAGCCGCATTTGGGATAGAAAGATCTCTAGACTGTTCCTGTCCCTATCGTTCTATCCCTTGAGGTTAATTCGTTTGGCCCTTTCACAAAGCTCTGATTAAAATACAAAAATCGTAAGAGGGACAACAGATAAAAGATATCTTTTTTTTTTTTTGACACAGAGTCTGGCTCTGTGCCCAGGCTAGAGTCCAGTGGTATGATCTCGGCTCACTGCAGCCTCCTCCTCCCGGGTTCAAGTGACTCTCATGCCTCAGCCTCCCGAGTAGCTGGGACTACAGGCACTTGCCACCATACCTGGTTAATATTTGTATTTTTAGTAGAGATGGGGTTTCACCATGTTGGCCAGGCTGATCTTGAACTCCTGGCCTCAAGCAATCTGCCCATCTCACCCTCCCAGAGTGCTGGGATGACAGGCATGAGCTGCCACACGTGACCAAAAGACACCATTTTTAACACCTTCAAGGAGTGAGATGTTCGGTGATAACTAGTACTTACGTGGCACTACAGAGTGCTTCCTGCGCACTTTGTCACATTCTTCTTCACACAAGCCCTGTCATAGAGTAGTATTATTCCTCCTTTTCTACAGATGAGGAAAGGGACAGAAAAATCAAATGACTTGCCTGTGGTCACCCAGCTAGTAAATGGTGGAGCTGGCACTCAAAATCCCAGAGGTGGTTTCCAACGTCCACCTGCTTAACCTGTGTCCTCTGCTGCCTCTCACCTTGAAGAGTGCTGGCACAGGGCACAGGGCAGATAAGTGCCCAAAAAAGGAGAAGGGTGTGGCATGCAGCCCCCCAGGGCAGGCCCAAGTCCAGCCGGGAACTGTGCCTGTGATGGGACACTCAAGAAAGATAAGAAGGGCTGGCACAGTACAAGTCTCGCCCTGGCCAAGGGCCTCCCTGCTTCCTGCCCAGCAGGCTGCAGCCTTCTTGTACAGATGGCCTCTGCCACAGGATACTGCTTTCTGAAGTCACCAACATTTTTTATTTCTGATAAAACCAGCAGATTTTCTTTCTGCTACCTTGAAGTCCAAGGAGAAAGGCAGAGGACAAGGACAATATCAAGAGGAGCTGTGAGTGAGGCTTACAGAGGTGGTGAATTACTTGCTGCCTATTGGAAGCAAAGATAGCAACATGTGTAACAGTAAGAAAAGCCCCTGCTAAGATAGAAGGAAACCTGCTGGGGCCAAATCTAGACTCTGGATGGAGAGTCAGATGGGAATTATGCTCCTGGACAGTGGGATCTGTGGACTCTGAGGCCCAGAGTACAGCTCCTCAAGAGGGGGATTCCCAGGGCACCACGTAAACAGGCATAGCCACAGATGAGACAGCAGAGGACATGAGGAGGCTGCCACCTGGGGAATGTCTTAGGTCTGAAGGGAATCTGAAACTTTAGTTCTGGGAGCTTGCCCCATTCACAGAAAAAGCCTGAATTCAAACCAGAATTCAAATCCCATCTTCATTCATTCTCTGTCTCCCTGCTTCCGCCCTCCCTCCCTCTCTTTCTCACAACATTCCCAGTGTTTGCCTCTAAATATAAATCAAACATCCAGAAACATTACAGGACAAGTAAAGAGAACTGAAAGAAACAAAATCACACCAAACAACACTTTCGTTTCTCTGATCAGACCAGGCACTGGTGGAGAAAAACAGAAAGGCTCCTGACAAATCCATCATGCAAGGACTCCAACTTCCCAATTCTTTTCATCCTCACAACAGCGTCAAGAACTATCCACAGAAGGTTTTACAAGCAGGAAAGCAAGCACCGCACTGTGATGCAAGCTCCTTGAAAGACCCAGACTTACGGCACTTTGAAAACAGATTGTATCTCATAAATGTCTTCTCTCTGCCATCCAGTCTTTGGAAGAAACACAGAAACTAGCAAGAAGGATTAGTCTATTTATAATGTTTTGGGTCTTACTCATCTTTTAGAATAAAAAAAATTAAGCATTGACTATTTAATACCGTAATTAGGAACAACACAAATTATAAAATAGCAATAGAAATGGTAATTTTGGATTAAAATAGACTCTTGGCTCTCATGGTTCCTAAGATTTTATATGTCAGACAGGCTGGAATTTGCGTGGGGGTTGAGGGGGAGACTTCCAGCTTTAGATTATGTGGGCCCAAAAGAAAAGCTCTTCCTCCTATCAATCCTAACTCCCTACTCATCGACTCCACTGCCAGCATCTGGTCTACCGCCTTTACTTCCGTTTTTCTGTGCTGTCTAACCTAGACATCTCTGATTCTATTATTATTATTATCATTATTATTATTATTATTATTTGAGACAGAGTCTCAGTCTGTCACCAGGTGCCAGGCTGGAGTGCAGTGGCATGATCTCGGCTCACTGCAACCGCTGCCTCCCAGGTTCAAGCAATTCTCCTGCCTCAGCCTCCCGAGTAGCTGGGACTACAGGCGCCTGCCACCACTCCCAGCTAATTTTTGCATTTTTAGTAGAAACGGGGTTTCACCATATTGGTCAGGATGGTCTCGATCTCTTGACCTCGATATCCGCCTGCCTCGGCCTCCCAAAGTGCTGGGATTACAGGCATGAGCCACCTCCCCCAGGCTCTGGCTCTACTATTAACAGCACACCTCACCCATGTTACAGTGCCTTCCTCCTCTGCAGCTAACCTGCCATTTTAGCCTGCCAGCTGGAGCACCTCCCACCTGCCCTGAAGCTTTGCTCCGTCAGTTTCCACACACACTCTCTCTCTCTCTCATCCTCTCTTTGGCTCTACCACTGGATCTTGCTCCTCTGTAATCATGCTCAAGTTTCTACTACCCAAACCAGCCAATCAATAAAAACAAACATAATAACACTCTTCTTCCAGTGTCTCTCTCCCTAAAGCAAGTTTCCCTACTTTCTTTTTCTTCACCATCTTTTAAACTTTTCTTAAAAGTCAGCTTGTCATCTGCTTCCTTTCTGATACCACCCACGGCATTCTTAATCCTTGCAGTCTGACTTCAGATCTGAATGCTCCATAATAATTTTATTAAACATCAGTGATCAGCCAGTTACTGAATGCAGTATTTTATTTTGTCATCACTTTGCTTAATTGCTTTACATGACTGACCCTGTTCCTCCACTCCTCACCATGTCCCGCTGTGAGATTCTCACCTCCTTTGGCTTCCTGATAATGTGCTTTTCTTATTCCCCTTTGATCCCTGTGTCTCCTCCGCTTCCTCTTTTTTTTTTTTTTCCAGCTCCAAATACAAGTTTTTTCTAAGAATCTGCTGTTGATCTTTTTTTTCATTCCCTCTTCTCTCTGCTCTCGTGGTGAATTCACTCAGTCTCATGTTTAATTCTTCCTTCTTTGTGACACATTTCTGAAACCTCCTCTTTCCAGTTTGGCTTTACTAACTCCTTGCTGGAAGTTTCCACCCACATATTCTACAGTGTGCTGATCTTAATGGGTTTCAGACTAATTTTATCCCTTACCACTCTCATTGTTAATTTTTTCCAATTTCTATTCATGAAAATTTTTCTAATTGCACCAGCTCAAAAAAATAAAAATCTTTCATTCTTTCCTCTTTTCTTGTCCCACATCTGATTAGTAGTCAACTCCTATCAATTTTGTTGAAAACATAGTTTTTCTGTTTATTGTTTTCTTTTTATTTCCACTGATACCCCTATAGTTCATGATTTAACTTTCTCTTACCTTATTTAGTGCGATAATTTCCTAGCGGGTCTCTCTGCTTCCAGTCTTACCCTACGGAGCTGCAACTTAACATGACACACTGCTGTACATCAGTCTTCGTGACGCATACATCTAAGCTGGGCATTTTCCTGCCCAAATAATTTCAATGGCCACCCAATGCCTAAAGCTTACACAATGCATTTAGGGACCTGCCATGTTCTGAATGTTTGTGTACTGGTGAAATTCATATGTTGAAACAACTCCCAATATGATAGTATTAAGAGGTGGGGCTTTCTGGGAGGTGATTAAGCTATGAGGGCAGAGCCTTCATGAATGGGATCAGTGCTCTTATAAAAAAGGCTTAAGGGATGCTGTTTGCTTTTCCACCAAATGAGGACTCACAGAAGACACCATCTATAAGGAACAGGCTCTTGCCAGACACTGAATCTGCCAGTAACTTGGTCCTGGACTTCCCAGGCTCCTGAACTGTGAGAAATAAATTGATGTTGTTGATAAATTACCCAATCTAAGGTGTTTCGTGATAGCAGCCTGAATGGACTAAGACAGGTTCTCTACCTCTGTTCCCAAATGACCCTTCCAATTTTATTTCTCAAGAGTTTTTGTTTCTCCCACTGGTTCTTTACTGAAGCTACCACCACATAATCCCA